TAATTTGGCTTGAGAGAGATGATTTTTACTCCTGTTGAAAGCTGCCTTTCATTCCTCTTGTACTTTGTTCTGAAGGCCTGCACAATGCCCTCTCAACTGATGCACCAAAGCCTGGGGCTTTGTATAGCAGCTCCGGGAAACCAGCCATTCATTCTAATCATAAATGAGAGACACAAGATGATACTGAGGTGGCATAATGTGTCTTTAGTTAATAATGACATTCCCAGTCTGTAATAACCCAGGACCACTGCTCAAATCTCAGAAGTGAGGAGTGAGTATACACATAAGTTTATGAATAATGAGCAAATCTTCAAAGATGAGATGATTTTGTTTGTGTTCTACCTGATCCTCTGGCAGTAATACAGAGAGCACCCATAGTCAACATACAGAAATACATGGGAAAACATGGAAATACAGAGCTTCACTAAGTGATTTTATCATTAAGGTTGATCTTATGTCTTGGGGTCAACTCCTTGATGAAGTCTGTGTACTGTCTTCGAATAGGCTCCAGCTCTGACCCTTAGCAGATGGAGACAGGTATACTAAAGAGCCTCTACTGAAGTGTGTTGGGCAACCGAACACACTCCATGTCCCTGGTCCTCATCTTCTGTGGGTATCTTACAAGTAGAACACTCTTCCTCTAAAGGGAAACTATGCCTTTTTTCTCCCCAGCCATAGCCTACAAGTTATGCTCACAGTCAAGAAAGAGATTTCTACCCCCTGAATATCCCTCAGAAAGGGGTTTTCTATTGAGAACCTTCCTCACCCGTGAGGTTTTCATTCTTAGAGGTGAGTGGGATGGAGGCAGCTGGCACAGGGTATAGAATGCATTAGGGAAAAAGACTCTTAACCATGAAATCCCCAAGCCAGAGCATGGTGTGGTGAGACTGGCAGAGGCAGACCTGGTTAGCTTCCCACTGGTGGGAAGCTACTCTGATGTGACAGTGGCAGGCAGGGAATGGTGAGCCACTGGCGACTTCCTGAGAGCCAGAAATTTGGGCCTCTTTTCTCCTAGGTTACTTAACTTTAAAAAAAATATTTTATTATTATTTTTATTTTATGTGTATGAGTGTAATGCCTGCATGTGAGTGCATCAATGTCATGCAAAGCTGTGGAGGTCAGAAGAGGGCTTCGGATTCCCCTGGAACTGGAGTTAAGGATGCTTTGTAGCCGCCATGGGGTGCTGGGAATCGAACCTGGGTCCTCTGAAAGAGCAGTCAGTGCTTAACTGCTGAGCCATCTCTCCAGCCCAGTTACCTAACTTTTGTCCAGGAAATTTCCTTGAGAAATAATATGACAGAATAGTCAAACTGACACATAGCCAAACCAAGCTTGTATCCTTCTGATGTCACTGTTCCTGATGAGACTTACTGGGCTGTAACATGAGTTGTAGGAGGGATAGATGTTGGCATGAGACACCACAGGTTGCAAACCATTAGGGACATTTTTTAATGCCCCCCAAGAGTCTCTCCCCTATCTAGTCCTACCTCTAAGGAGTCTTTTGATAATCAAATAAAATGTGAGGCACCTGGATTTAACCTGGTGTCATGCTTATAAATGTTCTTCAAATTTTAACCTTAGGACCATTTAAAGCTCTTAAGCATTACTGATGAATGGCGCCAAGAATCTCTTTTATGAATCTCTTTTACATTTGGTTTAATTGAAGAAAGTTGAGCTTCTCTAATAGCTTCTGCAGCTGACTGGATTTATTTGTTTGTTTATTTGGCTGATATATATATGAAAAATCCAAACTCATGCAACATGAAGTTTGAAAAAAAGCAGAGTTGTTTAGTAGATTTGGGAAATTATGGTGTTCCTGTTGATGCCACACCAAAATATGAGATAGTTTTAAATTTTTGAATTATAGTGGGAAATCAGAAATCGTCCACTGAATAAATGTATGCACAGGCATGTGGAGGCCAGAGATTGCCATCAGGTGTTCTTCTTGAACACTCTCCACTTTATTTACTTGAGGCAGAGTTTCTCACTGAATCTAGAATATTCTAGAACAATCTAGGAAATGATACATGAATATCACTGGTAACCTCTCAGAAATATGTTAATCCTCTTATGGTGTGAATTCACAACTGTATCTGTATACCACAGATGATACCATGAAAAAATTGGAAGCATGAAGCTGAGGCTTTCCAAAGCTATCTCTGCTCTTTTTAATACAACTATTATGATTGCTGCTACTACTAACACGTTGTTAAAAAAAATAAATCAACAAAAATCATGCTGAACCAGCAGAGCTTCCCTCAGCAAGCTGGGATGCATGGTTTCTGCATGTTTTACTCAAGTTCCTTAGCCAACTCTCCCTCTGCTTCGTGTGTAAACACCGAAGTGCTCTGCTGAGTGCTGAGATCCCCTGACATCTTTTCCTTGCTTATTTTCAGTTTGAACCACATTAATACTATCGGGTCTGAAAACTAAGACTTATATATCCCAAGAACCTGCTCATCTATTTGCTTGTGGATGTAGTGAAATTATCTCACACTTTAACCCAAGATTCAGTTAATTAGGAATTTGGACAGGGAAGAACACCATGGAGTCATCTCATGCTGAAATGTCTGAAGCCTCTGTGAGATGACAGAGAGCTGGAAAGGATAAGGCCTAATTTCTTCTGGAAGTTTATTCCTTCTCAAGTTTGATATCTGTACTGAAGGTCTGAAGTACTCCACTTAGCTAGAGCTGTCAATCAGAACAAGGCCAAATGACTTGAACTTCTGATTGCATAGTAACTGGGCTGCAAGAGAGAGTCCCCAAAGAGTACATTCAGATCCCAGTCCTTCTTCTGCAGAACTACCTGACATAGCCCTGGAAACCATGCAGCACTGCATCCACAGCATTCTCGGATTGCAAGCAAACCTCTTAAGTCACCCTGGAAAGGGAATTAGACTGCATCTCTTCATGGGTGACAGAAAGGTCACACTACAGAGGAGCATTGTGGGTGCTTTG